TAAATTTTTTTTGTATCTATATTCTCTTATCTTGGACCTACCCTTCTTCAGTGTATCTTCGAAGCCTAAGGGTTAGTCAAGAAATTTTAACACTTTGAATGCAGAGGAGTCTTTATTGGTGCAGTTTCGTCAGAAATTTTCGCCAGTTTCTGGCGAAATGTTGTACTAGTAAATACTGCTCCATAATCAGTCTGACTGTACTGTCGGTGTTTTGCTGTTTCTCTCTAACTTCTGTTTTGGTAAACAATGTTTTTATTATTATTATTATTATTATTATTATTATTATTATTATTATTATTATTATTATTATTACTATTATTACTATTATTATTACTATTATTATTATTATTATTATTTCCCCTCAATGAAGGTTTCTTGATGCTGATGAGGGACTCTAGATCTAGGGAATTGGATCTGTGCTCCAGTTCCCTGAATTATGCCTGAATGCTTTCCTCTCCCCTCCCCCAACAAGCGCTGAATAATCCCTACGGATTTAACTCTCCCCATGATAATTAATATTTTTACCTTTATGTAGTTTTCTCATCCAATGATGGGCACGAAAGCGTCAGTGTCATTATGGTGGTACTAAAGCCATCTCAAAAAAAAAAAATAGACCGATGCCCGTGAGGTAGGGAGTTGTCAACGTATCACATATTCCATGACCCAGGGCAACATGCCTTTAAAGAGTTGGTCTTGCCTCTCGCCTCTGTTGGATATCTACAACATGGTTGGATAGTTACAACATGGTTGGATAGTTACAACATGGTTGGATAGTTACAACATGGTTGGATAGCTACAACATGGTTGGATATCTGCAACATGGTTGGATAGCTACAACATGGTTGGATAGCTACAACATGGTCGGATAGCTACGACATGGTTGGATAGCTACGACATGGTTGGATAGCTACGACATGGTTGGATAGCTACAACATGGTTGGATAGCTACAACATGGTTGGATAGCTACAACATGGTTGGATACCTACAACATGGATGGATACCTACAACATGGTTGGATACCTACAACATGGTTGGATATCTGCAACATGGTTGAATACCTATAACATGGTTGGATAACTATAACATGGTTGGATACCTAAAACATGGATATCTACAACATGGCTGAATATCTACAACATGGTTGGGGATACGGTCTGAAACAAACGAAGTGCCAATGCTAAAATACATAAAATTTTGCACACAGTCGAGAATAGTGATTTGGGTTTAGCAACAGGTACCATGGTTGTGAAGGGACGAAACAGGGAATGCTGGGAAGATAGTTATTAAATTCTTTTCCCACTCGCTTTCCTGGGAGTTTTCTCAGACAGTGAACCTGAAGAATGTTGAAGCAGGGCGTAAAATACACTCAGCCTACGCAAAGAAGTGGAAGTGGCGTATAAAACGTAAATCGATACCCTGATCTTCATGTATCTTACAGCTTTATCGCCTAGATCACAAGGATCTTAGCCGGGGGTATTCATACCCCTTTGGGGTATGAATACCGCCGTTTATTAACAATATTAGAGTTGTTAGTTTTGAATAAACTTTGTTGCTAGTTGTCTGTATGTAAATTAAAACCTTACAGACATCTTTTGAAGTCATACTGGTACCTAAAAGGACTAATGGTGATAATTTCGACAGTCTGTTGAAGGGGGTATGGGGACATATCGGCCAGTCCTTTGGGGATTTTTAATCATTAAATGATTAAGTACCCTTGTCCTAGACCATGAGATGATCAAGTGCCAAAGCTTAGGTTAGGTAAGATTCGTCAGGAAACTTGACAGTTGTTTCCTGACGCGGGTCTTAGTTATATGATGGCCCACCACTGAAAGTTTTGGTCGTCTGACCGAGGTCTTCCACTGGCTTACCAGTTCACCCCTTTCTCTAGTGAAACGTAGGCAGGAAAACCGTCGCTTATGTAGGAGTCAGATGAGGTGCAGTAGTTGAAGGGGGCTCTGGTGGCCTGGTGGTTAACGCTCTCGCTTCACACGGTGAGGGCCTGGGTTCGATTCCCAGCCAGAGTAGAAACATTGGACGTGTTTCTTTCCACCTGTTGTCTATGTTCCCCATCAGTAAAATGGGTACCTGGGTGTTAGTCGACTGGTGTGGGTCGCATCCTGGGACACTGACCTAAGGAGGCCTGGTCACAGACCGGGCCGCGGGGGCGTTGACCCCCGGAACTCTCTCCAGATAAACTCCAGATCACCGTGGGCGGACCCGCTAGTGGAAGTAGGTCATGCCCAAGAGATGGGATGGTGATCAGCAAGCAGGCTGAAGATGGTATCCTCTATACCACGATTCCATAGTGTTGCTGTATCAGCTGATAAACACTCAGGAGCTACACCCAGGTGTTTTGTGTGTCTTCATTCATCATCTTATTGGCAGTGAACATCATTACTGTTACCTCAACCTAACTTAATCGGAATTTATTCTAACCTAATACATTCTAATCTAATTTAATTTAACCTTATCAGCATCTATGCACAACCTACCTTAAACTAAGATAACTTCATCTGTCGTAACCAGCATCCATATCTAATTTAATCTAACAAGCATTCTAATCTGGTGGAAACGATCACTCCCCTAATCGAAACGTCATAGTCGAAATTGTCCATAACAGAAACGTTCACAAACTTCACTAAAAAAAATCACGTTTCATGGCAAGACTTGCCGACAAATGTATTAAGACACTGTGCAGTGATTTTTACTTGGAGTGCAACGTAGTCTGTTTACATATATATGCTCTGCACATAGTGTAATTTAATAACAGTCATATGTTCTAAGCAATTTTTGTGTTAACTTCCAATAATCTGAATCTCTGTTAAGACGCATGTGCAACATCTGGATATCTTTATTGTAGACGTTTCGCCACATGTGTCTTAACTTTCATATTGTCGGTATTTGATACCTTTCTTGCACAATCTGAATCTCGTGTGTAAATCTATGCAAATGTTATTACTGTGCAATTACTTACGCTTGGTCTCGTGGATGATTAAAACAAACTCTCGGGTAGTTTTAAAGCGAGAACTTTGGGTAGCTTTGATAGTTTGGGCGGGTACATGAGAGGGTGCGGGTGGGTGTAAGTTGGTCTTGCGTGTCGGTACGGGTGGAAACATTACCTGGAGTTTACCTGGAGAGAGTTCCGGGGGTCAACGCCCCCGCGGCCCGGTCTGTGACCAGGCCTCCTGGTGGATCAGAGCCTGATCAACCAGGCTGTTGCTGCTGGCTGCACGCAAACCAACGTACGAGCCACAGCCCGGCTGATCAGGAACTGACTTTAGGTGCGTGTTTCCTTAAGACATCTGCTATCCCTGTCCACCTAACAGCAAGTAGGTACCTGGGTGTTAGGAGACTGGTGTGAGTTGCGTTCTGGGGGACAAAATTAACCCAAGTTAATTTTATCCATTTTGTCATAGGTACATGTCAATTATACACTCAACAGTGTTAACTAACAGTGTCAATCAGATTAACATAGGCAAACTTTTGTTTATTTTTTTCATGTGTAATAATGTTGGTAGAATTACCGACAATATGTAAAATAAAAGGACACAAGTGTAACTAATGTGACATTTTATTGTGGCAACGTTTCGCTCTCCAGGAGCTTTATCAAGCCGTAACGGCTTGACAAAGCTCCTGGAGAGCGAAACGTTGCCACAATAAAATGTCACATTAGTTGCACTTGTGTCCTTTTCTTTAATGTGATTTGAGTTTATAACAAAAGACTTTTGTTATCCTGACTGTTGGGTACCGCTAATCTATTCGATGTATCGGGCGCGTCCCTCTATTCAAACTTCTGGCAGCTCCCTTTTCCAAGTGTGTGGACGCCACCCCGTTAATCCAAACTTTTGAGCGCCTTCTATTAATCCAAACTTTTAGGGCATTCACCCTTTAATCCAAAATTTTGGCCATCCCCTTTTGTTCAAACTTTTTTTTTGTCTTCTCTTTCCGTCTCATCCTTCATAACAAATTTAAATTTTTATGTACCCCTGTTTATTTAAACTTCTGGCTGCGCCATATTTATGGAAACATTTTGGTAACTTTTATCTTTCAAACGTTTGCAAGCCTATTATAATCTTTCCTGTCTAAACATTTTTATGCACCCTATATATATATTCAGACTTTTGAGTCCTCTTTAGCTATCCAAAATTTCGGGCACCCCTTGTATACACAAACTTTTGGGCAGCCCTTTATTGTGAATGCAGGTATATGAAAAATGGCCTGTTGTACCTAGTCGTAAATTAAGTCCCCAGACAAGGGACTACCCTCAAAGAGTCAAGGAAAAGGCCAACACAAAATGCAGTTTTGAGTACCCATAAATTCCCTCCACCTATATTTATAATATATAAAATATGTAGTAAGCAGGTAAATGTTAATGATGGAGACCTGAGTACACTCACTGCCATGTGTTTTTTTTTTTCCTCATACAAGATAGATTATTATCTGTGTACTCAGCCAGCTAATGAGTCTTCAAGCACAGTGGTAAATATCACATGAATTCGGCCAATTTGTTTACATATAAACCTTACAGCATGGTAATTGATACTGACAAATTGGTTTTACAAGGCACGCGAGCAGACACTAGGAAATTGAAACTGGAACGAGGCACAGCTCGTTCTCATCGAGCAAGATCTTAGATGCCGACGATGTCTGGAAGCCTCACTAATCTCTGTCACTGACACCGTTGAAGATAATGCTTTGCGCTACAAAATTTGAAAAACCTTAGCATATATGATACTCAACCAGGCAAAGCACCACCTACCTAACAACACAGGAATCACATGACTTCATTGTCTGCCTGCCCTCATCCCAATAGGGTATTTTTCAGGTCACCGTGTGTCACTCACACCCTAATCAATCTTCTGGGCACGTCCATCTATCCAAACTTCCGCTGTCCCCCTCTTTCTAAGTGTGTGAACACCCCCCTAATAATCCATCCAACCAAATAATCATTCAAACAGCTAGCCAACCAATCAACCAAGTACTCCTGGTCTTCCTTCAGGTGTGGGTGTGACGGATGGGTGGTGGCAGCGGCCAGAGTTCGGTCCAGCAGAGTCCATAGTGACTGTCCAGGAGGGAGAGACGGCGAAGCTGCCCTGTGTCGTGCTTCACCTCAACGACAAGTCGGTGAGTATCCTCGCTGAGGTATATTGAACACATGTGACTGATGTTGGGTGTTTTAACACTGTATGATGGTGTTAATTTGTCGAGCATTTCAGTCGTGTCCATTGGTTTTGTTGTTTGTTAAATTTATATTTGCTTCATTGAGTGTAGTTTGTATATACGTATTTTTTTATTTGCTAAGAGCAATGGTGACCAGCACGTTCAGAATGCTATGTAAATATCAACTATCCTGCCACAAATACTTATTCTACTACTACTAGTTCTTAATCCTTGATAGTGTCCACGTCTCTGGTATTCGTAACTTCTTGTGGGTTGGTACCTTCTGCTTCCGTGAAATCTTTCGCGATTTAACGGTGAGTACCAATGTCTTCCTCTGGTACTATTATTTACATTTCTGAAAGTACACTTCTTTCTCTGTGGTAGTCATTAACTAGGACAGTTTCCCCACATGAAACTCTAGTATCCTAAACGAATATGCTTTAGTACCCATTTCTCTGATGCATCGTTAACGACAGGTCTGGGAATACAATTTCTCTGTGGTATCTTAAACTACATATATGTGAGTACCCTTACCTACTTGTCTGCTAGTAGCCATTTGTCTGTGGCATTCTAAGTTACATATATGCAAATACCCATTTTTGTATTGTATCCTTAACTACATGTCTGTTAGTACTCATTACTCTGTGCTGCTCTTTTCTACATAGAGCACTGACAGAAGAATGGATGTCGTGGGGCTCGTGAGGAGATACTGGAATAAGAATTACACACGTTGGATGACTTTGCAAGCGTATAATTAAGAGAGAGTCTTGAGGAGAAGCCCAGAAGCCTTGTCGTCGAGTCTAGCCTAGCGGAAGTGATGGGGGGGGGGGGGGGCTGCGGTCTACTGCCCACACGTAATGGGTTTCGTGAGGGCATAGCCAGCCAGGGAGCCTATCTATAACGTAGCCGGGTTTATCTAAGTATACTAACAACAACTCGCTTATAATGCAATGTACAGCTGGTAGAAAAATGGACAAAGCCACTATGTACACTAGTGGCTTTGTTCATTGGTGACTCCGCCTACCACTGCTCCACCTCATCTGTCATCAGTATATAAGCCCTGTCTCCGCCGATATGCTGCAATTTTGACAAGGTTGATGGACTGAATGTATCGACTCCAGGCTGAAGGACTGAATGCCTCAGACTCGTCTTCCATCTTTCTCTGCACTGGACTAAAGTAACCACTGGCTGGAGAAACTTTTCCACAATCAGGATACCCAAATGTTGCACAAGTGTCTCATTTACCAACTTATCGGTTTTCTAAATAATTAATTCACAGAAAAATGAGTATTAACTCTATGGCATCCTTAACTACATGGCTGTGAATATCCATTTCTATGAATACCTATTTCTCTGTTGAATCCTTAAATATGCATCAGTGAATACGTTCGGGTATCTGGTTGCAACAAACACTGCTCAACCAATGAGGAAAATTCTCAAGAGACAAGAGCGAGGAAGAATAGTTCTTACATGTTGACCTCTGCTTTCTTTGACTTTCCAAAACGGAAAATATAGGAATTCTGATTTCTTTATCTTCCTCTCCTGGTTCCGTCCCTGTCCCTCCTCGCCTGTATATATATATATATATATATATATATAGGCTCCCTCATCTTTTGTGTTAGTGTGAGTTGTAAATGGTCCTAGTCGGACCGAAACGTCGTCGTAAGCTCCTCTCTCCTTTGTGCGGGTTATTTGCGTATTGTTCCAGTCACGGTATTGTGCCTTTGTGTTATCTGTAGAGAACGAACACAGCTCTGCTGTTGTTACATCAAGTTGCAACAAATCCACAAACTGGGGATGAGAAATGAACGACGTTCCGGTCCATCCTAGACCATTATCGAGTCGCAGATGTATAATGGTCCATGGCCATTAGGGTTTCATGAAATACATTGTAGTACAGTTTCTGGAAATACATTCAGTACAGTTTCTCCCGATGCAATAAGACGACTTACTAAATTTGTTGCATAGTCTGTCGTGGATTAACTATGTAAGTAAAATACACACAGATAATACCAGTTATTACAATAAATAATCTCACACTCTTGAAGAGGTGAAAAAGGTACGCAGGTGGCCCACAGTGTGGTAGCTAAGCATAATAAATTGCACTGGCTATATAACGAAAAGCTAATTTAAGCACAAGTCTGCAAAATATCAGGCAATGTGTGTGTACTTAAAAATGAATCGGGTTGGAACAGGAGCCGAGAGAGAGAGAGAGAGAGAGAGAGAGAGAGAGAGAGAGAGAGAGAGGGGGGGGGGGAGGATAGAGATTGGGGAAAGCCGCAGTGCTTCATATAGGTTGTAGTAGTTGTACCTTGTTACAACATACAGTACAACCACAACACAACATGGCGAACACTTCTAAGAGCCAGACTGTCATTCTTTAATTACTGCTGAGGTTGGGATGCTGTGACATGGAGACAAGGAAGGGTGTTGTTGTGTATCATGTGTTATATCTTTGTCTGGGTCTGTGTTCTACGATATCTGCCTTAATCCATGTTCAGTGTTATCTGCCAGGATCTGTATTCAGCGTTATCTGCCAGGATCTGTATTCAGCGTTATCTGCCAGGATCTGTATTCAACGTTATCTACCAGGATCTGTATTCGATGTTATCTGCCAGGATCTATATTCAACGTTATCTGCCAGGATCTGTATTCAGCGTTATCTGCCAGGATCTGTATTCAGCGTTATCTGCCAGGATCTGTATTCAACGTTATCTGCCAGGATCTGTATTCGATGTTATCTGCCAGGATCTATATTCAACGTTATCTGCCAGGATCTGTATTCAACGTTATCTACCAAGATCTGTATTCGATGTTATCTGCCAGGATCTATATTCAACGTTATCTGCCAGGATCTGTATTCAACGTTATCTGCCAAGATCTGTATTCGATGTTATCTGCCAGGATCTGTATTCAACGTTATCTGCCAGGATCTGTATTCAGCGTTACCTACCAGGCTCTGTATTCAGCGTTACCTACCAGGATCTGTATTCATCGTTACCTACCAGGATCTGTATTCAGCGTTATCTGCCAGGATCTGTATTCAGCGTTATCTGCCAGGATCTGTATTCAGCGTTACCTACCAGGATCTGTATTCAGCGTTATCTGCCTAGATCTGGGTACCTTTAGTGGCAATGTTTTGATCATCTTTCCCACTCTGAGTCACCACTGACGTACGAACATATAACACATTCTTTAAATCAGAAAATAAGAGTTAATTTTAAGAATGTCAGAAAAAAATAAACTTCTTGAAACGTAAATGTTGTGTAACTATTATTGTCTATAACTGCTCAGTTCCTGGAAGACAAGTTATGTGCAGCTAAACACAAGGAGGTTATTCCGGGGATCAACGCCCCCGCGGCCCGGTCCATGACCAGACCTCCCGATGGATCAGGGATCACTCTCTACGAAAGTAAAAGACTGGGCAGGCGATGCAAAATGCCGCCAATAAAAAGTAGGGGCGCCATTGGTACACTAAGAGAAAACACCATGAGTGTCCGGGGTCCAAAACTGTTCAACAGCCTCCCATCAAGCATTAGGGGAATTGCCAATAAACCCCTGGCTGCCTTCAAGAGAGAGCTGGACAGATACCTAAAGTCAGTGCCGGATCAGCCGGGCTGTGGCTCGTACGTTGGACTGCGTGCGGCCAGCAGTAACAGCCTAGTTGATCAGGCCCTGATCCATCGGGAGGCCTGGTCATGGACCGGGCCGCGGGGGCGTTGATCCCCGGAATAACCTCCAGGTAACCTCCAGGTAAGTAAAATCAAGGTCTTAAAAGACTAGCTTACTATCAGTTATTCAGAACATCGGGTGAACAGGTGGAAATCTACCAGGAATGATTTATATTCAGTATTTTTCTGCACTTTGAAGCGTCCATGTTATGGTCATGACTCTACATTCTGACACACAATTATCTCTTGAAATTATGGGTTTCACATTCATGAGTTATCTAATTACAGCAATGTATGTTGTTTATTGTTAAATCAGACACATGTGCAATACTTGGGTACACAAGTTAGTGTGACTTTGTCAATGGTCCAAGTCGAACCGGAACGTCGTCGTAAGCTTCTCTCTTTTATGAGCGGGTTATTTGTGTATCGTTCCAGTCACGGTATTGTGCCTTTTTTGTTAGTTATATATACTTGGGTATCTTTTCTGTGGAAAGTTTTCGCCACACAGTGGGTTCATCAGTCCAATACAAAGAAGAATGATGAAGATGAGTAGTTTGAGGTAATCAGTCCCTCAGCCTGTGGGTTCTCTGAATCATTTATCTTCTTACTGCTTACTGTCGTATTGTCGTGGAGAACATGTCAGCCAGCATACTAAGTCCTCCCTTCGTATGGAAAATAGTTAGGAATATCTAAATATATAAGGGCCATAGCATCAGACATTCATTTTCATACTTCACGTTCTGGAGGAATATTTTAGGATTATGTTCCGTGTATATGAGATTTGGAAGAGGCGACGCATCCAGCTCAGTGTTCTGGGGTTAATATAAATACGTGCGCCTCATTCTCTCTTCTGAAGTATTTTCAGCTTCTCAGAATGAAGATAAATTGGAAGATCATCTGCTTTTGAGTTCTGAACAACACTAATAACGCTCCTCGCTAGTTTATACCTGCATGACGAAAGGTGCGCTAAAATAAATGCTCTGCAATACTGAGCCAAGATGAGCATTGTTTTCAGGCATGCGAATGCTGCTCTCTGGCACTGCTCATCCCAAGCTTAAGTTTAGACTTGTCAGCGAAGATAACAGGTTATGTAAATGAAAGAAATTTGTGTTCTTTCCTAGTCAAATACATCAGTACTGAAGTAAATGCCCTTACACAGGATCTTTGATAAAGCCTTTGCCTTAATTATCTTTTTTCTCCCATGACCTCCATGATCCTCAGACATGTAGAATAATCACTGTTGTCAGATAAATTCATTCAAATGCCGACTCCATTTGTTATGGCCTTTTAACC